TAGCTGACGGCTGGTAACTGTGCAGGGGCGGATCTAGCAAAGTTTAGCCAGGGGGGCCAATAGGGCATTAGCAGGGAAAAGGGGGGCACAAAGACATGCTTTTCTTTCTTATTCTTATTTAAAATGTCTAGCTTTTAATAAATAATTATCTGAATCTTACACCCAAAGTTTTAATCTTATGTAAAATATATAGAAGTCCATTACTGTATATAGTAACTATTAAGTCTAATATACCCTAGTAAGCTATAGTACTTTTTCCTTTGGAAAGATACCATCTGTGCAGTCTGCAGTTCTGTTGAAGAAAGATGTTTAATCTATTTAATTATTCTTGAAAAATAATTTATTTCTGTGCAATTTTTTTTCACACTGCATCAAATTAAAGTTGCTTACATCGATTAAGCATCATGAGGTGGAGGGTGGGGGGTGGTTCCCTATTTTTTTTTTTTTGCTGGAAGTTTGCAACCCTATTAGTTAGGTTGCTTAATATTTCTGCTAAGTACTCTATAAAATACCAGAATAGGGAGGATGGAGTAGGTTTAAGTTTATTAGATTGATCAGTATTGCTGAACTATGAAATATTTGGGTGCAGTGTATTTTTTTTATTTTTATTTTTTTTACATACAGGTATAACAGAATAGCTTTAGAGCTGTTGTTTATTTAAACTTGAGTATGAACTTATACAAAATGCAGCAAGATATTTAAAAAAAAAACAGTTTTATTAATTAAAAAACACACTATATCGGATTCATATCGGTATCGGCAGATATCCAAATTTATGATATCGGTATCGGACATTAAAGAGTGGTATCGTACCATCTCTACTATTCATCACGGAAGAATATTATGTTCCTCTTCAGCACTGTAGCCAGTCTGACAAAAAGTCAGCACTCTGTTGAGCTATGCATTCCTTTAACTTGAACTAGTAATCACATCATCATCATTTTCATAAGGTTTTAATCATTAGAGATAAAATTACTCATAACCATCTTAGATTTATCATTATGTACAGCTACCTCAGTACTAAGTTAACTTCAGTAATTAATTCCTCCAAATCACCAACACATCTTTTAAACTCATTCCTATAAAACTGCTCAAAAAAGTACAACTTTGACAAACTTTAAATAATACCTCAATCTTAAATGTGATCAACCTATTTCTACTAATGGGCTACGTACATTGTTTCACTGCAATGAACTTGTCCTTTACTAAATCAATTGCATGACACTTATCTCAATCAAACAGTAGTAGTTTTCCCAGTTTATTGTAAGTAATTAACTTAAAGCACACCCATTGCAATATTTAAACACTGATTGACACTTGTTTAAGCTGACATCAAATGTTTTATACCTTCTATGGGGAAACGTCTTCACAGGGTACCATGGAAAAGGACTTTGTTTGACTTTGTTTGATTTTGTAAAACATATGCATGACGCATATATAATACATGAAATAAATTACTTCTTGGCCAATAATCTGTCAAATATTGGTCAAACATTTCTCTCATGAAATGT